ATTCATCGGGCTATGGAGTGATGAACATTTATCCATTAACAGAGGGCATGTAACATACTTGTGCTTTGGAGAAACAGAGCCCCCCAGTAAAGGCAAGCGTGTGCCAACCTCAGCATGCAGGGACTCCATCCTGAAGAGCATCGCTTCTGTCCAGTGTGCACAGCTGTGTGAGGATGGTGATCAGAAAAATACCCCGAGCTATTTCTGTAGCAGAGTGGATGTGTGAATTGTTCATACGATAGAGAACTGCAAAGCCCTGAAGATAAAGGGACCCACAACTACACATATGAGTCTACAAACAGAAGAAACCATTCTTAGAGGAACAGAAAAGTATGGGGAAAATTGAACAGCCTGTTGCATAGAAATATATAAACTTGGAATAAAACTTTAAGTGAAATCAAAATAGTGATTCACTGAAACTTCAAAATAATGGCTACCTTTGGTGGGAACAACAGGAATTCAGTGTGAATGGGTGTTCTGACCTAAATTGCATTCTCCAGATCCAAATGCATGTGTTGAAATCCTAACTTCCAACATCATACACTGTGTTTGTGTTGAGAGAGGGGTTTTGAAGAGGTAATGAAGGTAAAATAAGCTCATATGGGTGGATCCTCATCCAATATGGCTGGTATCCTCGTAAGAGAAGATCAGGACACAGATGTTCAAAACACGATATGAAGACACAGCAAGAAGGCAGCCATGTAAGAGCCAAGGAGAGGCTTCAGCAGAAACCAAACTTGAGCTTGGACTTCAGCCTCCAGCACACTGACAAAATAAAATTCTGTTCTTTGAACAACCCAATCTGTAGCATTTGTTATGACTGTCCTAGAAAACTAATACAGGGATCTTCTAAGAGTCTGGTAAAAGCATACATTTTCAGAAGGGTGGGTCATAAGTATTTTTTTATTGCACTGAAACATTTTATATTCTTGTTTGGATGTGCTTTCCTCAATTTAAAACGTAGTTTTATAATTATTCCCCAAACACTGCTGGCCTATTGGTGAGCATGTAATTGATTTATTCAGCAAATGCTCTTCTTCAAATATTCATCAAAATTCATTGTTCCATGATATAATCAATATTTTATTTTTAAAGCAAAGCCTGCTGTGTTTCACCAATGCTAGTTCATTATCTTCAATGGATAACAATCAAAAGAAAATGGAATTAATGCATGCATTTAAACTACAAAGTCTAATGCAATTTGTGGCACTGAGTTAAAATCACTTTCTATTCTGTCTCCCCATTGGATTTCTCCTGTACTGTGCATATCGCCACTGACGATACACATAAGGATTTTCTCATCTCCCTGGAGGAAATATATTCATTTGAAAAATGTTGACACTGCAATGTTATAACAGCTCTTGTTGGTACTTTATGTAGAATTAGTATAATTGCTGATACTTAAACTAGCTTCATTCTTTTGGGGGAAGAGGCAGTGCTAGTTACCTATTATTTATTTAGTTAGTGGAGGATCAAACCTAGAGTCTTGCTCATGTTTACCAAGCACATGCTCTATCGCTGAGCTATATCTCGAGCATTTTACTTTTATTTACAAATGCAGTTTTCAGGATTGCTCTTTAATAAGATGATGCCTATATCAGTATCTTAGGCAAATGATTTGTAACTAAGGTAACTAAGTAATATTTATATGCATACATATGTAAAACAACTAAATATACACACATGGAGATGCATATGTATGTCGGGAGTGGTGGTGTACGCCTGTAATCCCAGCACTCGGGAGGCTGAGGCAGGAGGATCGCTGTGAGTTCAAGACCAGCCTGAGCTACATAGTGAGTTCCAGATCAGTCTCAACTACATAGTGAGAGCCTGTGTCAAAAACAAACAAACAAACAAAAAAGATACATATGTATGATGTTTGGCCACATCTCGACAGAGCATTGAAACATTTTTTATTATTTTATTGTAAATGTAATTACTAATCTTGCTTTCCTAAGATATAATGAATGAGTACATGATGTAAAACCTGGAGAAACATTGTGTACGTATTTGTAATTAAATACAAGTGTCAGACAGTATAAGTAAATATAAGCAAAAGTCCCCGTGAAAGACACACAAATGAAACACTTTTACACTGAGATATGAAAGAAGTAATATAAGCCGGTTGAGTTGTATGCACCTGTAATCCTAGCCCTTGGAGGCTGAGGTAGGAGAATTACAAGTGCAAGCTCACTGTGCATAACTTAGTGAGACCCAGTTTCAAAAATAAAAAATGAGAAGAGAAATGGAGATGGATGTAGCTCAGTGTAAAGGCCCCAGAGTCAAGACAAAAAGGTGAAAAGTGGTATAAATTTAATGTTGTATAGGATCAAATAGAAATATTAATTCTTAAAGTTCAGAAATCCAATCAACTACAAACACTGGCATGAAAGTATATAAATTAAGAAGTGAATTTGTGTGCTCTTTTGCTGCTATGAATCCATAAAAAACAAAACCTGTTTACACCCAGAAAACATGTAACCATTTTGTGTTTAGAAATTCACCAGTTTAACTTTTAATCTTGTCATTTTCTAAAATAATATAATTTGCCAATTATAAGGATATTATTTTAAATAGTTATAACATAGAGAAGAGTTATATAGAGGATAATAGCTATATAGATGGTAATAGTTGTAGAGAAGACCCTCTTCAAGGTACATTTGAAACACCCTTCAGTATATACCAGATATTACGTGCTGGAGGCATCCATGTAAAAAATAGCTGTTACTCAGACAGCAATCAGATGATGCTAGCTTTAAGTCATTATCTCTCACTCAGAGCTAAGCAGCAGAGCTCAGCCTATGTGTTCCATATCTGTGCCTTCCACTGGCTGCAGGTAGCTGTTGAGCCTTGGGATGCATCCAGTACAACTGATTTTTCAATTTTATTTTAATTAACTTAAATTTAATTATCCACGGGTGGCTAATGGCTACCAGATTATTTACAGAAAGACAGTAAGATGAAGCCAAAGTATTACCCTTAAAGTAAATAAAGCATCATTGCTTTATTTGCAATTATTTTGTAGTTTGCATTTATTTGCTTTATTTTACAGTCTTTGATCTTTTATGATTCTATCAGAGTAACATGTATCGATTAATGTATGTTTTCTTATTTTCTCTGAACTCTTGCAACCTTCAGTTCTTGAGGCCTTTTAAAAGAAATTGTTTCACTTTAATCATTTTAGCATTCAATATTTAGAATCTATAATTCTGTTTTAAATCGTAGTGACACGTGATATTTAATTCATGATTTAGCCGAAATAGTATATCTTAAAACCATCTTGAACTGTGCCTTTCAAATGTAGAGTATTACAAAACTATGCATAGGCTTCTCAGTCTTGTAGCTCTTATCTATGAGCACAAAACCATTAAATTAAAGCCAACTTCATTTGTACTGGTTTTGTCTGCCTTTCTGTGAGATGACCCACCTCCTGCTCTATTTTTCTTAAACTACTAAGAAACCTTCATTTATGCACAGGGCTTCATTGGCGTGTGGCCCTTCTGCTGAGTCGTTTGTGACTTTCCACACCAGCCGGTGCAGTGTCCTCTGAACTTAGAACCAATGGCTCCATGCTCAAACGTGCTGGGCCTCATGGTCTCCAAGTATCACCAGCAGTTTTTTAAAGCATTAATTATTTGAAGTTTACTTTAAGGTTTTAAGTTCACTTCATGGGAAATATGAATTTCACAGGAGGTGTGTGAGAAGGATAAGGGAGTGGTGAGGGCGCACAGAATGAGGGGCAGCAAGAGAGGGCCTTTAGAGAGTACATTTGGGATGGCCGATCCATTTGTCCTTGCTGAGGACTCCAAGTCAGTGACTTGGGTTCCATGGGAAGCAGCGCATCATATCCAACTACCCTGGCTTAGGTGAGAGAGAGCCTGGGCTGGGCAATTAAGGGCACTTTCCCATGGGGACATTTTTAGGGCAGGCCATAAAACTCAGGATTTCTGGGACAAAACAGGAAATAAGTGCCCTTTACTACTCAAAAATGGACACACACAGATTAGCTTTCTTGAGGTCCAGAGGAAAGAACAGGAGAGGAGGGCCTCTGACAGGCAAGAGGGGAAAAGTGGCCGGTAGAGATGTTTGCCCTACCTACTGACGGATCCCTTCACTCACCCAGTATTAACTGAACTTCTGTTATTTGTTGGGAAACTACATGGACAGAATAAACAAGCACAAATAAACACACTGTGCTATTACCAGTAGGACAGATTGCTTTCTTAGAAGGAAGGAAAGGACAGGGTCCTGAACAAAGAATAATGGGGGCAGAGTACAAGACTAGGCTGAGGGTAAGGTCGAGGCTGCTTTGAACAGGTGGCTTTCAAGCTGACCCAAGCATGTGCAGAGACTCAGAGATGTAAGACAGCTCAGTGTCTGAGGAACTGGCAAGGCCTGGTTGGCCAGCGCCAGGTGATTGAGAGGGGACAGCAGTGTAGGTGGCTGTGCAGGATTAGGCCGCAGGCATGAGATGCTGGTCCACATTAAAGAGCTGGTGTCTGATCAGTGCAGTAGAAGACAGTGTATGCTGATTTTCAGCAAGGGTGGGTTGACCATGTGTTTAAAGGTAGCCTTCCACTGTCATTGGAAAATGAATGAGAATGAATGAGAGAAAGGACTGTTTCATGGATTAGATGGAGTTGGCAAGGGAGAGGGAGGCTTCAAATGCCTGGCATGAGCCACTGGGGTAGTGAAGGCGCCTTTTATAGAGACAAAAAAGACCAAGAAAGGAGCTGATGGGTAAGGGGTGGGTGAGAGGTGTCAGAGTGGAGATGGTCACAAGGGTGCATGGTCAGAGGAAAAGAACATAAAGGCCATTCAGTACCACTACAACATTGCCCAGCTCCTGCCCTAGTCTTCTGTACTTGTGAGCTCAGGATGTTCCCAGGAAGAAAATATATATTTTCTCTCACTCTGTTGACTGTCCTGATGAAGCATATCCAAATATTGGCAAGTCAAAGTCAAATGTTTTCAACCACCTCTCTTTGTTTATCTTTCAGGATCATCCAGAAGTATTGAATATTCGAATACAACTGGAAAGCAGGGAACTAATCATAAATCTGGAAAGAAACGAGTAAGTTAAATTAGTTCTCGGTTTTGGCACACTTGGAGGAAGTTCAGACAATGTGGATGGAAAAGTTCTATGGAACACGTTGACATTCAGAGCAATGAAACTAAGTGTATGGATTTGTAATCCATATTCAGATTTGAGGCTCGAATTAACTTCAAAATATTATCCAATGGAAAAGTAAAGAATTTTATTATTCTAAAAATGAGCTTGATAATTTTGTAGGGTTTTTCATGCTTCTGCTTCTTTTCTTTTCACAGCTTGATTTTGCAAGATTCAAATTTAAGCATGTCTAATTCATTCAAATAACTGTTTCACAGTTAATCAACTCTTTTTTTTTGGGGGGGGTACCAGGGATTAAATTTAGGACCTTGCACTTGCGAGGAAGGCAGCGGCACCACTGAGCTAAATCCCCAGCCCATGATTAATTGACTCTTAGTGACTCCTGAATTATATAACTGGAGTTTCAAATAGGTACAAACTCTTTTTTCCCTGGGAAATTCAGAGTTCATTTTAATCTTTCAAAGCTAGTCTCTAGCACAAAAGCTTTATTTTATTTACTTATTTATTTATTTATTTATTCATCTTTCTGTTTAATATTTTGCCCTTTTCTTTAAATAATGTTAATTTCCAGGAAATGGTGTTACATATTTCTCTGGAGTATGTGTTTATTATTATTTATTTCGTACGGCTCCCTAGTGGAACTTGTGTCTGTCTTAAGTCACAAGTGAAAGCCATCACGTTCATGCCATTCTTTACCCTCCGGATCTCCCCTTAAATTCCTTAGTTTATTCTATTTGAATAAGCTCTTCTAATAAACGGTCTGTATTTAAAGGGTTAAATCAATTCCCTAAGACTTGCTTAATTAAAAATTGCAGTTTCTTGCAGAAGTGCTGGTTCCTCTCTCTCACTCCTCAGTCTGTGCAGAAGTTAACAGCATAAATAGAGAAGCTTCCCTGGAAAGAGTCTTGCCAGGGACATGGAATTACAAAAACTGGAATCAGGAGTTCCCTGTGAACTAGTCAGACCATTCATTGGTATCAGTGCTTTGATTTGAGGGTCCTAAGCAAGTCAGATAAAACAGGCCATGTGTGCCTGATCCTAACATTTGATGTCTAAGGCCATAATGTATTTAAAATCAGTATTTGTAAAACCACACAAGCTGTTCCTTAGTCTCTGCAGCCTGCCACTTTGTATTTCTTCTCACATGTGTATCCCTTGCCATTAAATGGGTCAGATGCTTTGTAAATAGTAAATAAGTAAGGTGTTTTAACTTTTCTTATGAACTGATGATCTTAAAAGAGAGATTTAGGCACATAGGCTATATTGAATATCAAGGATCTAAACAGAAAATTGTGTATTTCTTTTCATGTGTTCTTCTTAGAAAAACAAGTATTTTTATAGACTTTTTTTTTGTGTAAGAGTTTAGTGGGACGTTTAAGTTTTTTACATTCTGGTTGTATGTGGTTTTGAAAATATCTCCCTGGAGGAAGCTAGGTATTCTCTGAAAGAGCTACAAAACTACTTGCGGTGGCAATATTCATCCTGGTTAGGGTGCTATAATTGGCAGCTGGGTGTAGAAGTCTCTGTGCCCCACCTATTCCTATTATTAGACTGTTGGCAGGATGTCGTACCCACCCTGGGAGAGGCCGCTCCTAAACTTCATAGATGGCGTTAATGACTGCAGGCAGGGGAGCAGAAAAAGACTTAATAAAAGGCTTAAGTTGTTTTGTTTTTGTTTTTGTTTTTTTACTATAAAAAGAATATGTGCCCCAGCAGAAAATTTAACATGGGTGTGTGGGGGACAGGGAGTAACCATAAGATGTATACCTATTACTGAACATAGCCCTAGTTAATATTATGGTGAAAGTATTTTCCTCACTAATAAGAGCTTTGTTTCTTTTATCTTTATAGTCGATATCATAGTCTTTGTACAGTGGTTTATATCTTAATATATTCTATACTTCTTCATTTAGCTTTATAATGAACATGCTTTTCCATTTAGAAATGATTTCTTACAGCCCATCTGGTTCTCTGATTTTGTAAAGCGGCTTAATAGCCTTGTTCATGGCTCTCTCTGAAAGTGATTTATCTTGCATTACTGCAGGTAGTATAAAATATGTTGAGAACTAGGCAATGGCTAATTTGTATAAAATATCATTTTAAGAGGCATCAATTTACTCTCTTCTAATCCTGGGCTTTTTATAAGACAATCTCAAAATTAGAAAAGGTAGAAATTAAAGCTATCTCTTCTGAATGTATTTCTCTCTTCCCTACTTCCTTTTTACCCTACATTTCAAAAATATAAAGAGCATATTTAAATGTGTTCATATGACACTCTATAGCTCTATTTTAACTACACTACTCTACCAAATTAAAGTTTCCACTGTGTTAACAGTAACGTTTTCAGTGTTATAATATACCAGCGTTACTATTTTAATAATGCATTTCCCAAAATACTTCCATATTGAACATTTTGTCTAAATAAGTCATGAGTCTATTGCAAATGCACTATACCTTCCAAGCAATGAATACTTAGAAAATCTGCAATTTTATAAGTAGAGTGAAATGCTTTTATGCCTCTAGCTTTTAATGCTGTCAGATACAAAATGCAATCGATCATCTACTTTATTTGTAATTTTAAAATTTATGTAACCTTTAGCCCAAGAGATCCAATCTAGAGTGCTTATCTAAATGAGGCTTCTAGATTACCCAAAAATAACAAAATAAGACACATTCATTTAAATATTTAGCCAGGAGCACCATACTGAAATGATCCAAGCAGAAGCATCAGCTGACTGATGAGAATGTGGGCTGATGGGTACCCACTTCAGTGCCCACACACTGGGGTCAGTATTCAAGTATGTTGGTTACAGAATATTTTACTTAAGACTACATTGATAGGAGATTGACTCCATAAACTATGGCTTGGCTATGAAACAGTACTATGCGGTAATTAAAAATGATGAAGATCTTTCTTACTGAAAAAAATCCACAGTGTAATCAGTGTAAACAGAATGTTAGAAAATACTTGCCGTATCGCCCAGTTTTTATTTTAAAATGGTACACATAAACACGTACCTGTAGTAAGCTTATGGAAAACACATTTTAATTTTCTTAAATGTTTTACAAGAAGAAAATATTACTTTTAAATTGGGGATTTTTTTATTTTTGAAAGGAAAATTGCTGTAAAAACTTGAAAATGGTTGAAAAGAGGAGAGTGGAACAATTTGCTATGCATAAAAAGCAAACAGGGCTTTGAAAAGCCTACAGCAATTTTTGAAGGTCAAGAAAGGTCTACCTATTGAATATTGAGTCTGAATATTCAGAAATCTGTTTTAAGCAAAAACTTGATTAAAAATTAAAACTTAAATAAAAGTGGCCCCAGCCTCTTAAATCATAAGAGCTATAATCTGAAGCTCATGCTGAAAGAGAGTCACCCAATTATCCTTACTCACAAACTCTTCCATGGTAAACCAATTCTTCACGGAGCAGGGCTGCATTTTTATTAAATAGTTGTTTGAGAGAATGTATTTTATTTGCCATCTAACATCCTTAATTTGTTCAAAGATCCACTGCTCACCTGAAATCAGTGTTTGTATAGCTATAATTGAATGTTTAAAGAAATGCAAAGCTTCCCCTGAGCAGTATTTTTCACAATGTAGCTGTCTGCCTATGGGGCTGCAGGGACCAGCTTTATAACTTCCATAACTCTGAGGGATCCCCGCAGACTCTCCAGCCATTCCTCAGACAGGTGCGTTGTGAAACTGCATCTTTGATCAAAATGCTTTATGGGACAGGCTGGCCAGCTTAGACATCCATTTTCCCAGTTTAGGATAATTAAAAGTGAGGGCAGTAGATCATACTGCCTACATCTCTCAAGTCCAGTGAGCATTCTGTTTGCAAGTCCTGCTGCTGTCTCTGATTGAAGGCAGTTGCCATGCGAAGTCTACAGTCTGCTGAATTCATAGTTGGGGTGTATCTGGGTTTAAAAAAATCTTTGACATTGTTTTTATTCTGTCTGGAACAATTCCATCTTTTAAGGGCAACTTTAATTCATATTCACTTACCCTACAACAATCGCAGAAGGGCCACTTAAAAACTGTCAAACACTGAGTATACATATTAGGAAGGCATTTGGTTTAGATAATCTCTCAGACTGTTAGGTATAGCACAGAGCAATGTGGCCAGGGTAGAGATGGCTTTAGATGGATTAGACAAGCTGGATGCCTGTCCACAGCACACTCACCCATTATTTACAGTGACCCAGACTGGGCTGGGCAGCTGGACTGTGACTGCTCCTAGTGGCCTTGGGATTATATGCCTGGCCTCATCCTGGCCCATGATTCTGTCAGCCATCTCTATGAAGACATAAAAGGGTACCCTGATCACATCTCCTGGCAACACAAATCTGAGGGATAACTGCCCGGCAGGGCCGAATCTGGATTATGAAGATTTCAGCAGTTTGGATCAATGGGCCAAAACTAACAAGATGAGATTTAACAGGGATAAATGTAAAGTCCTGTGCTTGGGTTAACAAAGAAGTAAATGTTACAAGTTCAGAGGAAAATTTGCCAGTAACTTTCTTGAATGAGATGTGCAACAGGAGCCCTGGAGGCAATGTGGTTACTGAGAAAGGTGAGGGCCACCCGAGTATGTGTGGGGGTGGCATGAAGGGTCCTAATCTGGTGAGGACTTCCTGCTATGTGGTCACCCTGTAAGAGCCCTTGTGCAATAGCAAATGTGCCATCTCTGAGCTGCCAGCTACTTTGTTCTTATTTCCACCATTGGACATTTATTTGCCTACCAAAAAAGATGTCCTTAAGATCAGAGGCAGGGCCTTAACATCCCACCACCACTATAACATTTTACCCAGCTCCATCTCTTAGCTTCCCTTTCCTTACTCACAAATATTTATCAGGATTTTTATTATTTTATTAAAGAGATCATTTATTCCCTCACTCACTTTCCTAGGTTTTTTCCAAATACTTCACTTACACCAGACA